GGTGTGTCCATGGCTGTAGTCTATGTAGCTGGCATCGCTGTAATGAAGTTCTAAAATTTGAGAGGTGTTGACTGGTTATGCTGGACATTCTCAACATCCTGTGGATGTAAATCATCGTGCTGTCCAGGGCCTGAGGCAGGGGAACCCTCATGCTCCAGAGCAGAGTGTGGGAAGGGATTGAAGAGATGTGCAAGAGCTTCCCTCAACCGTGCTACAGACTTGGGCCCAGGGCCACAGTGGGGGAGGTTGTCCCTGGGAGCCTGAGGCTGTGCCCACCCCACCAGGAGAAGGCTTAGACTCACTCAACAGGTATTTATTGAGTGCCCCCTTTGTACCAGGCACTGTTCAAAGCATTGAGGAACAGGAGTGAGCAAAAAAAGATTCCTGACCGTGGGGAGCTGGCATTCTAGTGGAGGAGATGGACAAAAGACCCATGTTCTATAGAAATATTTTACAACTATTCGTAGCTTGAAAAAAATTAAGTACAACTTCAAAACTGTTTAGGATATGACTTTGTCTATCATCTTGTTAACCTTAATCTATTTTGAACTTGGAACATGTTACCTTTTGAAATGAACAGCATTTTCTTTTTTTTTGCTGAGGAAGATTCACCCTGAGCTAACGTCTGTTGCCAGTCTTCCTCTTTTTTATTTTTTATGTGAGCCACTGCCACAGCATGGCCACTGACACTTGAGTGGTGTGGTTCCGTGCCCAGGAACCGAACCCGGGCTGCCGAAGCAGAGTGCACCAAACTTTAACCACTAGGCCATTGGGGCTGGCCCATGAACAGCATTTTTAATCCCTCTTTGCTTGTGTGTAGAAGTTGATTCTCTGTGTTCTGTGTATTAATTTAGATAGTTAGATTTGTCTTCCATCATTCTGTCATCTCAAAGCATCAAAATACATTCATTAATTCAACAAACATTTATATGCATTTTAAAACAAATATGTATTGGGTGCTAGATCCAGAAGGAAATATAAGATTAATTGAAAAAAGAAAAATAAATTTAAGTGCTTAGAATTTGTTTCCAAGAAAGGGCATATGTTCATGAAGTAGAAACGTAGGGCCGGCCCCGTGGCTTGGTGGTTAGGCGCGTGCACTCTGCTACTGGCGGCCCAGGTTCGGATCCCGGGCGTACACTGACGCACTGCTTGTCCGGCCATGCTGAGGCCACGTCCCACATACAGCAACTAGAAGGATGTGCAGCTATGACATACAACTATCTACTGGGGCTTTGGGAAAAAAAAAAAGAAATGTAAAATGCTACATGTGATTAACAAAATGGTTGATATTAACAAATAGATTAAGAATTTTTTATTCATTTATTTTTTGTTTATTTATTTATTTTTTTGTGAGGAAGATCAGCCCTGAGCTAACATCCATGCTAATCCTCCTCCTTTTGCTGAGGAAGACCAGCTCTGAGCTAACATCTATTGCCAATCCTCCTCCTTTTTTTCTTCCCCAAAGCCCCAGTAGATAGTTGTATGTCATAGCTGCACATCCTTCCAGTTGCTGTATGTGGGACGCGGCCTCAGCATGGCCAGACAAGCGGTGCGTCGGTGCACGCCCGGGATCCGAACCCCGGCCGCCAGCAGCGGAGCGCGCACACTTAACCCCTAAGCCACGGGGCCGGCCCTAAGAATTTTTTAAAAAGAAATATTTTATAGCTTGAACTGCATGACGATTACGTGGCTATATGTATGTAAAAATTCGTTGAGCTCTCCATTGAGATTTGTGCATTTGAGTAATATCTCAATTTAAAAGTTTTTAAAAGTTATCATGGATTCACTGAGTTATAATTTGTACACTCGTCTATATGTATGATATACTTTAAAAGTCTATTTAAACACTCCGCATCCATTGGGATGGCCATTATCAACAAAATAGAATCTAACAATTATTAGCGAGGATGTGAAGAAAGTGGAACTCTTGTACATTGCTCGTGGGAATGTAAACTGGTTCAGCCACTGTAGAAAACAGCACGGCATTCCTCAAGAAATTCAAAATGGAGTTACCATATGATTCAGCAATTCCACTTCTGGGTAGATACCCAAGAGAACTGAAATCAGGGACTCGAACAGATAGTTACACACCATGTTTATAGCAGTTGGATTCACAATAGCCAAAGCAACTGAAGTGTCTGTCGACAGATGAACAGGTAAATAAAATGTGGTATAGACATACAATGGAATATTATTCAGCCTTAAAGAGGAAGGAGATTCTGATACAGCCTACAGCATGGATTGAGGACGTTGTGCTAAATGAAATAAACCAGTCACAAAAAGACAAATACTATATGATTCCACTTACATGAGGTCCCTAGAGGAATCACATTCATAGAGACAGAAAGTAGAATGGTGGGTGCTGGGGGCTGGGGGAGGGGGATGGGGGGTTAGTGTTTAATGGGGACAGAATTTCAGTCTTGGAAAATGAAAAAAGTTCTGAAGACGGATGATGGTGATGGTTACACAGCAACGTGAATGTTCTTAATACCACAGAACTGTACATTTAAAAATGGTGCATTTTATGTTATATATTTCACCACAATATTTTTAAAAGTCTCCTTACAAAGAGATGAGTAATGTAGACAGAAATGAAGCAGAGAAAGGGAGGAGGTGCTAGAGGGGTTTACAGTTTGAAATCAGCTATTCCAGGAAGATCTCACTGAGCAGGTGACCTTTGTGTCAAGGAGGTGAGTGAAGCCTCTGGAAGTTCGGGGAACACTTTGGCACAAGGAGCAACTGCGAAGGCCCTGTGTGGCTAGAGTGGAGTGAATTGAGGGGAATGTGATAAGAGATTAGGTCACAGCGGAAGGCGGGGCTCATGGGCTCCCCCAGAAAGCCCCGGTTTTAGGCTGTTAATAACCTAAGTGGATTAGCACATAAAACGGGAGCTTGGCAGTAGCAGAGTGCCAGGCGAGGATGGTTATCCGCCCCCATAAAGCCATTTCTGCAGCCCCTTGGCCTCCATGACGCACGGCGCCGGCACGCGGACAGAAGGACACACGCAGCTCCCTTAGGATACCTCAACGGCTCTGCGCAGCCGCAGCACATCTGCCTCAGCAAGATTCCTGTGATTGGCCGATCTGAGAGGCGCCGCAGCCAATCAGCGGCCGGTCCAGGAGGGCTTGCGCACCCCTCCCCAGAACGTTGACAGCCACCGTGGGCAGCGGCTGGGCGCGCTACCGCCCTCTGCCCGGCGTGCCAGCTACGCGCAGGCGCATTTCGCTCTGCTCAGCTGGAGCGTGTGTGGCAGGTGGTGGGGTCGCTGACCTGGCTGCCACCGTCAGAGTCCCCAGTATCCCCTCTTGGGGGCAGTCACGGCCTCTATTTTCCTCTTCCAGAAGTAGTGGATTCAAACACACGTATTTACTTTTTTCTTTTTTTAATTTAACCGAACACAAAAGTATGTGTGAAGCCCTGATGTAAACCTTTTAGCACACAATCCTCAAAACAATCCTAGGAAAAAGAGCAGCTTCACAGTGGAGGATCCTGGCAGACGACACCTTAAGCAAGAGGCCAAGGTTAACATCACCAGCAATGAGTCATAGTGACATCACAATGACATCATAAGCCCCTGATATGAGAAGGCAACATCACTTCTCTGGTATCCTTCCCAGGAAGGCCAAAACCTCAATCCAATCAAGACAAACCAAATTGAGAGGCAGTTGACAAAATTACTGACCTTTACTCTTCAAAAATGTCAAGGCATGTAAAACTGAGGGACTGTCACAGACTAGAGGAGTAAGGAACCATGTCAACTAAATGCAATGAGGGATCTTGAATTGGGTCCTGGGACAGAAAAAAGACATGAGTAGAAAAGCTGGAGAAATCCAGATCCAGTCTGTAGTTTATTAATAGTAGTGTCCCAAAGTTAATTTCTTGATTTGATAAATGTACTATGGTTATGTAAGATGTTTACAGCCGGGGCAACAGGGTATATGGGAATTCTCTCTGCTATTTTTGCAACTTTTCTGTAAGTCTAAAAATTATCTCAAAATAAAAAGTTAAAAACAAAGAAACCTGGGAAGCAGGCACTATTGAGATGCCCATTTTTCTAGACGAGGCAACTGAGGCACAGAGAGGTTAAGACACTTGTCCAAGGTCACACAGCCAGGAAGCACCAGGGCATAGTCCCATGGAATATGGATCCGGAGCCCCCGCTTTTAACCTCAGCACCACAGTGCCTTTATTTAATTGAAACAAAGGGCTGCATATTCTGCCTTCGTCTTTGTCTTTCTCACTTGTTCCCTGTTGATGGATCTGTACGGTGACTTGTTATTAAAAGGCCACTGCAATAAATGTTCTTGCACATGTCATTCTTCAGAATTACACGTGTACTTCTTAGGAATATTCTAAAGAGATTTGCTGGTTCAGAAGGTGTATTAGATAGACAGGTTCTCCAGAGAAATGGAACCAATAGAATATATATATGGAGAGAGGGAGAGAGAGAAAGAGATTAATTTATTACAAGGAACTGGCTCATGTGATTATGGAAGCTGAGAAGTCCAAGATCGATAGTTGGCAAGTTGGAGACCCAGGAGAGCAGGTGATGGAGTTCCAGTCGGAGTGTGAAGGCCTGAGAACCGGGATAGCCAACGGTGTAAGTTCCAGTCCAAGAGCTGGCACGCTGGAGACCCAAGAAAAGTTGTTGTTTAAGTTCCAGTCTGAAGGCAGGAAAAGACTGATGTCCCAGCTCAAGGCAGTCAGGCAGGAATTCCCTCTACTCAATGGAGGGTCAGCCTTTTTGTCCTATTCAGGCCTTCAACTGATTGGATACGACCCACCCACATTGGGGAGGACAATCTGTTTTACTCAGTCTACCTTTATGAGTATGTTATCTCATTCAAAAACACCCTCACAGACACATCTAGAATAATTGACCAAATATCTGGGCATCCCGTACCCCAATCAAGTTGACACATAAAATTAACCAGGAGAAAAGGTAAGGACATTTGTCATTTAAAGCTATGGACAAATTGCCCACACCCATCAACAATGCTCCCACAGCCTCCCCAGCACTGTGTCGTCAGATGTTCTGATTTTTGCCGATCTGGAAGTCATCTGTCCACTCTTTTTAAAAAGCTCTTGTTCAACTAGATGTTTTTCCTATAAAGCACCTTCTTGCAAAGCTCAAGGCTGGACAAGGGAGTGGGCAGCTGTAGAATGGCCTGGAATAACCCCAGCCACAGCCTGTGACCCAACCCCTTCTCCACCCTCCAATTGTTCTTCTGGGGAGGGTGGGAATGGAAACACAATGGGGACCCCCACCTCAACTGCCCTCAGTCCAGGAGGTGCTGGGGAATTATGTCCTTCCTTTGTGCGGAATTAAGCATCAACATTTCAGAGAGACGTGGGTTTGAGTCCTGGCTCACCCACTCTTATTCCATTGACTCAGTGAACATTTTTTGAGCGCTTGCTGTGCGCAGGCACTGTACTGGGCAGTGGGGATACAGCAGTGAACCAAACAGGCAAAGCCCTGCCCCGTGGAGTTTCTGTTCTCGAAGGATAAGGCAGATAATAGGCATATAGGGGCTTTTAAAATGAAAGTTTTTATGGAGGGAGACATACCCACTGTGAGGTGCAAACTCTTAAGTGAACAGCTCCCGCATGCCCATCCTCTCACAGTCAGTCTGGGGGTGGAGGATGCTGTTATTTGAGCAGAGAAAGGGAGGGAAAGGCCAGGCAGACATCTTGCATAAATGTGTCTAGGCAGAAGGGACTGCCAGTGCAAAGGTCCTGAGGTAGGAGCGTGCTTGAGCATTCAAGAAACATGTTGAAGAATCTGGGAGCAGCGTCACCCTGAGAGAATGGCCCGGCCTCTCTGATCCTTGAGTTTCCTTATCTATAAAATGGGCCTACGAGTTTCCACCCCCAGAGTGCAGTGGTGAGGATTAAATGAGATTGTGCCTGGCATGGAGAGAGCCTTCCAGAAACAACTTTGAAACGTTTATGAACAACAGCCTCTGCCTGTTTTGGGGAGGAGAAAGATAAGTGAGGAGGGGGCTGGCAGGGCGGGGCTGCTAAGATAGGCAGGCACAGGGGGACGGGGGCTGGCACTCCCTGCTGGGGACACACAGGTACAGAGTTGTGTGTGTTTCTGTGTGTGTTCTGGGAGTCAGGAAGGTTTTAGGGGTCTCCCAAGGATGAGGAGAGGCAGGGACAGTCTTGCTTTCCTGACAGTCCTGTTCCTTGCAAGATCTCACTCTTTCATTCAGATGGGAAACTGAGGCACCGAGGGGCTGGGGCCAGGGAAACGTCACATAGGAGCTGAGTAGGGGACTGCACCCCAGACAGCCAGTGATGGGGGCGTTCCCTGGGGTGGGGACCTCGATGGCATCAGCCCCCTCTCTCCGCCTTTACCCCCATCTACCAGACAGAGACACGGAGACAGAAACAGTACAGAGACATCGAGAGAGAAAAACGGTGACTCAGAGACGTGAAACAGAAACAGAGACACAGAGATGGAGAGATAACGGAGAGAAGAGACATGGGGACAAAGAGAGAGACAGTGAGACAGGCAGATTCAGAGAGACAAAGGCTGGGACAGAAAAAGCCTGGTGACACAGACAGACGGACAGAGAACGACCCAGAAACAGCCAGAGATAGAGACGCACACCCAGAAAGGGCTGCCCTCCAGGGAGACCCCGGGCTGCCCCGTCGGGGGCCGCCAAGAGCTCCCCGCCCCGCCCGCGTCGTGCCTGGGCCGTGACTTCAGAGCCCGCGCGGATGCTATAAATGGCCAAGCGGCGCGGCCGGGGGCGGGGCCGAGTGAGTCAGCGCGTGACGTCACCGCCGCCGGGCCCCCCCGCCAGGCCCCGCCCCCGCCCCGCCCCTCCTGGGCCGCCAGGGGGCGCCGGCCGCGGGGCGCCAGTCTGCACATGCGCAGTAGCGACCTTGGGCCGCCGAGGGCCGCTTAGCGTGAGCAGGAGCCCGGAATTCGTGCGTTCGAATCCTGGCTCCGCCACCGTCGCGCTGTGTGACTCTGGGCAGTCGGCTTCACCCCTCTGTGCCTCATTTCGACCTCACTTCATAAGGCTGTTGTGAGGAATGAGTTAACAGATCCAAAGCACTTAGTACAGAGCAGGAGCTAATGGTTAGCTCATTTTATGTATTTTAGTGTATTTTCAACATATTTTACACCATCAACTTGTCCTTAGTTGCCTTAGCGCAGTCGTTCTCAAATGGGGGAGATCTGCCCTCCTTCCCTGGCCCTCTGGCCCCCGGGGACACTTGGCAATATCTGGAGGTACTTCTGTTTGTCAAGACTAAGTTGGGGGTGCTACTGGCATTTAGTAGGTAGAGGCTGGGGATGCTGCTTAAATTCCTACAATGCCCAGGACAGCCCCCCACCACGAAGAATTATCCAACCCCGACGTTGAGAAACCCTGCCTTAGCCTCAGAGCATTAGGGGCACGGGCCTGGGTTCCAATTCTGCTCTACCCCTGGTGAGCTGTGTGATACTGGGAAAGCAATCCACAGCCCTGTGCCTCAGTTTTCCCCTCTGTAAAGTTTGTATATTAACTGTGTCCGCTTCTGAGGGTGTTGTGAGGATTGGACTGATATATGTAATGCCTGGAACAGGGACCGACATAGGGCTGCTGTCATATTAGCATATGGAAGCTGTGCCCTAAGCATGTGGCCCACAAACTGTGTGTCCTTAACATATGTGTATGGCAGGTTGCTGATATGTCACCGAGTGTCACTAACATGGCCTTGACATATGTGCATGATGCGGGCATGTCATCCATCCCTGTGCTCCAGGGGTGAGATCTGGCCGGGCAGGGCTGCTTGCGGGGGTTCCCTCCAGGCCAGTGTGGCTGGGACAGGGACATCGGGGGGTGTCCATGGCCTGCAAGCTGCTAACGCAGTCACCCTGCGACTCAGGCAACCCACAGGTGGACGGAGAGGGTGAGATCCAGGATCTCTGCTCCCTCAGGTCCTTATGAGGGGCTGGAGGGGACAGAAGTGGGGTGCCAGATTCCGAGCAGAAATACTGCTATTCCCTGAGTCCTGCCCTGTGCCAGGCACTGGATATGGGAGGCATTATTTCTTCTGACCCTCCTAACACCCTCAGGAGACGGGCAGTATCATGAGTCCATTTTACAGATGTGCCAACAGAGGCTCAGAGAGGGGAAGGGACTTGCCTACAGTGATAGATGGCTGGTGTCTTGAGTTAAACTCAGGCTGGTGCTGGCTACACCACCACGGGGGGCAGTCCTGCCGCAAGACTGGAGAAAGATGACCTCAGAGACATGGCGAGATGGCCAGAGAGAGACACAAAGAGACTTGGAGACCCAGCCAGAGGCCCAGTGAACAGTAGGGGGTGCGGGGGGAGTGGGGAAAGGTTGGTCTCTGTCTGGCCAAGCCCCCCCCCAAAAGAATAACCCAGGCCGCCCCCCTAGGTGGAAACAATGACACAATCAGCTCCCAATACCAAGGCCCTGACATCAGAGGGGGGTGGCCGAGGTGGGGGGGCGCCCCGCCCCTTGGCAGGCCCCTGCGGCCAATGGGACGGCCCTGGAAGAGGCCCGGGCCGCCTCCGGAGCTTCAAAAACTTGTGAGGAGGGAAGAGGGTGCAGACGGAGCCCCAGCCGCTGCCGAGGTCCTCAGCGCCACTGCCACCGCTGCCCACCACCGGCCAGCATGTCCTCTGCTCACTTCAACCGAGGCCCCGCCTACGGGCTGTCTGCTGAGGTCAAGAACAAGGTAGGGCTGGGGCCACATGCCCTGCCAGGCCAGAGGCCCTGCTCTTGGGATTCCTGGGGCCCTCCTGCCTATCCCCTGTGGCCTGGAACCTGAGAGGGAAGAGGGACAAGTGTGGGGTCGGGGCTGCCTTCCTCCCCCTCCTGAGCATCCCAGAGCCCTCAGCTACTGTTAGGGGGTGCAATGGGGGGCATGCAGGCAGCCACAGGTCAACTGAGGTGGTCGGTCCATTTTGAAGACCCCACTTGATCAGAGGCCCCTTTTAACCCTTTGTGTTCCTAGGGGGCTGGGGACGGACTTGATTCTCCACCCCCCTAGCCTGACAAAGAAATTGGGGAGTCTTGGAGAGCTGGGGTTCCTGCGAGGCAAGGCTCAGAAAGTGTGGGAGATTGTGAAGGGAGAGGGAGACAGTTGGGGAGGGCAGAGAGCAGGACACGACAGGGGTCTCCTAATTTTGGAGTTTGGAAGACACTGGGACACCACCTTCATGCTATGGATGGGTAAACTGAGGTTTAGAGAGGGGAGGCAAGTAATTAGGGTCCTACATGTGGTAGGTGCAGAGCTGGGACCCTGGACTCGCCCCCCCCACACACCAGAATGGGGTCAGCTTCTCCAGGGCAGCCCACTTGAAGTCCCCAACCCGCTGGAATGCTCCCCTGAGCACTGACAGAGATGAAGCACCAGCCCCATTTGACAGAGGGGAACACTGAGGCTCAGGGTGGCTTTTCCTAGGGTCCCACAGCGAGGAGGTGGGGAGCTGGGATCAGAACCTGAGTCGGGGGACCCTCGGGGCTGGCGGAGGGGGCAGGTGGGGGGCGGGTGCTCGGGCCGGAGACAGATCGCCGCGCCGCCCCCCCTTCCCCCCCAGCGCCGGCCCCAGAGCCGAGCGGAGCCGCCGCGCCATATAAGGCGGCCTCGGGGAGCCCGGCCCGCGGGGCCGCGCTATATAAGGGCCGGTTTGCTTTATAAAGCCGGGCTGGTCGGGAGGGGGCGGCAGGGCCCGGGCCAGGTGAGGGGGCCGCCCCCTCCCACCACCCCCTCCCCCAGGAGAAGGGGCAGCCCGGTCCCCCAGGGGCCGGGAGCCTGTCTGGGCTGGGGAAGAGGGTTCTGGAGAAACGGAGGGGGACGAAGTGGGGAGGGGAGGGGAGGGAGGGGGAGAGACGCAGACAGAGATTCTGGGAGCCGGAGACAGGAGAGAGACGGATGGGGGAGGGCCAGCCAGGAGCCAGATAAGACTGAGACAGGGATGGAGAGGCAGCGAGGGGCGACAGACGAGCCCCACCCCCACCCGAGGCAGGGAACCTG